TCACTCTCACACCACTCACACCACACCATCAAACTCATGCAAAAACTCCTCTTCAAGCCCTAGACTTCCCTCTCTTTTATAAAAGGCCGCTTCCCTCAAAAAAGAATTCAAAATTCTTTTTAAAATTCTATCTAAAAGTCAACTCTTTTGAATTCAAAATACATGTCCATTGATCCAAGAGACATATCCCTTCATAAAAGAACCTTCCAAAGTGTCTGATGCATTGAATCACTCCAAGGGGTGTTTAGAACAAGTGTCCCTTTGAAAATTAGCCCAAAATTCGTCTCGAACCGCCTTAATCCGCCAAAGTCGTCTCTGGCGCATCATGCGCCAGTTCTCTAAATTTTGGCCCATCATGCGCCACTCTGCAACAGCTCAACTAATTTGCTTCGTTTTGCTTTGTTTCAACTTCGTTTCATCCTGTTTCAGTTGTGTTTTTCTCTTAAAAGATAAATCTACATACCTACAAATAAACATGAAAACAACATTTCTTTAAAGTGTAACTTCATTAAAAAACATGTGAGAAATGTAAAGTACATGTGAGAAATGTAAAGTATAAATGTAAAGTATATTAAGCATAGAAAAACATATCGAAATGTGTCAAGTCAGAATTTTCTTTCTTGCTCGTTTTTACTCCAAATTGCACCATTTTTGCTTCATTTTCTCCAAAAGTTCAAATTTTGTACCTGAAACAAAAAAATATGCAAAATACCTTCCTTTAAGGTGTAATATCATTAAAAATTATTAAAATTTATCATAAAATATATATAAAAGTAGGTATTTTTAGGCGTGTCATGTTGGCATTCCTTCATATCATGAATGCAGTCCTCATGATAATCACAATATTGGTTGAGATCACACGTTTAAGTTCCCGTCTTCATGGGAAGCAACTTGTTGAAGAAGTTTTTATTCTGGATGGCCTCAAAGATCTCGACAATTGACACCCTCAATGGTGTAGCCTTGACAGGAGGGAACTGAAATGGTTCTTGTCTCATTCCATGCCTTCTTCCAACCAATCTTCTATCAATATTTTCTCACTCTTATCATTGGAAGCATTTATCAGAGGGCCTCAAAAGTTATTCCTACCAAAGCGATGTCTTGGGCTCTCGTGTTCTCCATGGGGCAGACATTGAAAATTCACTTTGGGCTCTTGCATATTAAATAATATACTAGGAATTGTCTTACTCTACAGAAATGTGATGATTTATGAGCTCCAAGAGCTCAACCAATGTTATTGGCTTTTAAAAGCCAGGTGCATACATGAACGGACCTTCACACGGTCCTTGAGCCAATGTCGCATGAGCAACAATAGGTTTCAGTTCCCAGATGTTCAACATCTCTCGCTAGAATTGTGTGATGAAGCTTCTGAGGCTCTCTGTAGCGTCCCGAAAAAACTTCAGAAAAGCACCAGAGTTATTCAACAGTTTTTGTGGCTAGCAAACTGGGCTATGAATATGTGTATTAACTCCCCGATGAAGATAGTGACTCTTATAGGTAGGTTATTGAACCATGCAAGGTCATTTCTTTCAATGTCATAAAAAAATAAATGACATCTAAGGTTGTCATTTTTCCTTAACAGACATGCAGGTGGCTTGAAAGACGTACATGGTCAACATGATCTAAATTTCCTTTATAAGATTCCATATAATGAATCTTAAACTCCGTTAGAGCCTCAGCTTCCGCAATCTCGCTTAGAAATGTGCTCCTCAACTACATTTTTCTTCTTTTTCTTCTCCTTCTAAATTTTTCATCAAAGGATTCAGAAGGTTCTTGATACATATAAAATATATGCATTTTTCGACCCATATTTTATACTTATTTTTTGTGATATTGCACTTTAATGAAAGATTTTTTTTGTGTTTTATTACAAGTTGTTGATTTTTAGGACTTAGAGCAAAATGAAGAACTTAATAAATTGTTTTTGTGTTTTAATACTGATGGCGCTGTTTGACAGAGAAGACAGATTAATTAAATGACCTCTGCCAGTGTCGGTACAGACACTGTTTCTAAAAAAATCAACAAATTTAGACGCTTTTAAAGAGTTTTTGGATGCACCTATTGGAGAACTGACCCTAAGCTCTATTTAGGGCCGAAATTTGATCAGAACTCCCCCTCGTACCATTTCACATTCTTCCACACACTCAGTTTTCCTCTTCGTACGCCTACATTCCATGTCATTCCACGCCAGTTTTGAGTTTTTATGGTGAGTTTAAGTGTGAATTCTTCTCTAAGAAGTGTTTAAGAGGAAGAAAAGTGAGAGATTTCTTCTTCTTAGATTTCCTAAGAGAGGCTACAAGGGATTTGCTTTGAGAAAGAGTTTCAGATAAGTATTGTTTGTTTGTTATTGTTGTATGAACTTTCTTTTATATATTAAATTTGTGTTTTGTTGTATCTTTCTCATGATGTCTGAGTAGTTTCCTTTATATTTCTCCCTACTCTGAGATATGTTGAAATGAAAAGATAATTTGGATGTGCCAATTTTAAAATTTAAAATTAATTGTGATGGTTTTTCAACTCCGCTCTTAATTTACTTTTGAATCTGACATATTGAATTGTTAAAATATGTTGTGAAACATATGATCAGAGAAATGGAATATGAGTTTTACAACAGAGTGAGAATCACATTTAAGTTTATGAAAGAGTATTTCGTTTATGAAATTAAGTGCAAATAAATAGAGAAATATACTTTGTTAGGTGTAGAATTGGAGATTTTTATGGTACGATTTCATGACAGACTAAAAATCCCCAATTCGATCTTAGTGTTTAAAAACTAAAGCGAGAGTTAGCCTTGGGAAGGGAAGTAGGAGCTCTGGAGTGGGAGCTAGTATCCTCCTAGCCTAGCCACAGATTTAGGGACTAAACCTAAGATTTGCCAATGATTTTCTATAACACTGAATCAGGGTAGATAAATAAAATTGCTCTTATTTGACACAATACAAACCTAAACCATTTATCTCTTCTCATTTCACCAAAAAACTCATGGTAGTGAGAAAGATGTTTTTTCATAAAAGAAAACTTCAACACATAAACACAGTTTAGTAGTTACTATTTTTGAACTTTACATTTAAGTTTTGCTAGTAGTTAATAATTTAGTTTTGTTATTATCTTACACATTTAAAATTAGTAACAGTAATTACATTTGATTTACGTGAATTTCCTAGTTAATTTATCATTTCAAATTTAAACTTCCCTCGTGGGATCGAAATTTGGGACTTAAACAAAAAATCTTATGATACTTGATAATGATACATATACTTGCATAAAATCTCAATCTTAAGTGCTTAACATTATTATTACTAAAATACCACATCAAGTTTTTGACACCATTATTAAGCGGGGTCAACTTTAAAATTTTACACAACTACATTCAACCGGGATCAGTTCTCGCTCCGGGATGTATGTTTTGCTCCTTTCTTCTTCTTCTGATCTTAGACAAAGTGCCAATTTCGGTTTTACTCTTGGTAAAACCTGCTGAGGCAGCTCTTGCCTAGGTGGTTCACATCTTGACATCCCATATCTATGTGCCACTAACCTTGATGATCTCGTATGCTCACTGGATTGATCTTTTAGAAGGAGATTTGGAGGTTTCTTGCTTCAAATTGTATAAAATTTAGGACATGTTCTCTCAGCTCTGTTGTGTCACCAACTCTCTAGTATAGTTTATTATGTTTTTTTGATCACATGAAGGATACACTTATTAAGTTTGAGTATGAAGTTCACGCTCACCGCATCTTTTAGGATGTTAAATCATTTTAGAATGTAAAGTTTTATAGTTTGCAAGTTCATCCAACCTAGTAACATCCTAGTATTTAAGAGTAAGGTGTAAAGGATGGTGATGGAAGGATCTCTGCTTCCCTCGTAATGAGAGAGTGAGAGAGAGAGAGAGAGAGAGAGAGAAAGAGAGAGAAAGAGAGAGAGAGAGAGAGAGTGTGAGTGAGTGAAACCCATTTGGAGGTCCATTATTTAGGGGAAAATGAAAAAATCCCCCTACGTGCCCTTCTTACATCATTATTTTATACATGAAAGAAAAAAAAATATGAAATCACATTTCATGCTATACAACGTCTACCCGCAACGTCTTATTGAAAAGATTGAGATGTGGGTGTCGTGCATCGCCTTAAGTGAGGATTGACACATGTGCTTGTATTTAATGATGATCTTCCTCAGTGGTTCAGGTTGATTCAAAAATATTAGCAAGTGAGCTCAATTTGATCATTTCGGCAGGTGGGCTTAGCCTAGGGGTGTAAGTGATTCAAGCCAACTCGTAAGTCTAATCAAGACCTGTGGCTCGTGAACTGAGCTCAATGACCTAACAAACGAAGCTCAAGCCATCCTTACTCGACTTGTTAGCTCGTGAGTTGGCTTGCTCAAACAATAGTTAATAAAAAATATACTTAAAATATTTTAAAATTTAAAAAATTTACATTAATTTATTAAAAATGTTTGATATTAATATTTTTATATCTTATATCATGCAATTACTAATTATGTATCTCGTAATCGTTCATTCAACTTGTCATTTAACTATAGTCAACTTAAAATTAATATTTTTTTCTCACTTTTATGCTAAACAAGCAGCCTCATTAGCAAGCTCCAACTCGATTAAAATAATCAAGCTCAAGCTCAAGTTGAGAGTGGCTCGAGCTCGACTCGCCTGCAGCTCTAGCTTAATCCAACCACTATAAAAGACGGGCTCAATCCGACCACTTCGATACATGCAAAAATAAGCAAGACCATAAAATAGTTTTTACAAAATATAAATCTCATAAAATAATTTGAACAAAATTCAAGCTTCAATGTTACCAGCTTGACATTGACGCCAGCAGCCTAAGAAACAATTTTAACATATAAAAGATGTAATTTTAACAAATAAAAAACAATGTTTCCACAAAATGAGATACAAAAACTTGATTCTCAATAATATGAAACTTTTAATTTCAATAATATGAAGCTTTTGAATCAACACTACAAAGTCTTAATTTTAACAATATGTATCCGCATTATGGATACTTAACAGAGTACAAATACTATTCTATACTGTGAGCATTGATGCTGTTTATTATACCCTCTGAAGGACAAATAACTCAATCCATTTCCTATAAAAATTTCAAGAAAAAAAAAAATTTTACAAGACTCATCTGTTTTGTTTCTTTGATGTACAGTAATTTGGCTGAATATCATCTTAAGATTTCATTATTCCAGCGGGAGAAGACTTTTTCTGTGTTCTGCAGTAATTACGATTAATCAATGAACACCCACAGGCCACAATAGCCTGCAAGACTGCACGTTCTTCGTCTACAAGTTGTTGAATCAATACCACATTCATCATCACTCCTGCACCTATGATCAGCTCGGTTATCATGAATATGGCAAGCACTCTCAATCTGACGGCCGGTATTTTCAAGGAAAGTTACTGGACAAACTTGCTGCGACATGGAGCTCAAAGGAAGCACATCATCTTCACTCTGCACCAAGATTAATAAATTCAAGGAAGATTTAGATACCGCTCAATTCCTGTGTATTTAGATATTTGATACCTAAACTACAATTTTTACATACATGCCAACTTACCTATGCATGAAAAGGTCTATTTCACTTTTTAAAAGTTACCATGGTGGTATTTTTTATGTGATATGAAAAATTTGGATGGTATAAACGTCGAAAGTAAAGTATAGGTGTTAGAAATACAAATACATAGGAATTGGGTGGTATGTATTTGAATTCCCCTAAATTCGAAGATAATACATGCGTTTAGTAATATTTTAATGCAAATACATGTATTTACATATCTAACACCGAAACTTCAATTTTTACAAACATGCCAACATACTCAAGCATGAAAGTGTTTATTTCACTTTCCAAAAGTTTCCATGGTTGTATTTTTTATGTAAAATGAAAATTTTGGTTTGTATAAAAGCAGAAAGTAAAGTATAGGTGTTGATATGAAAAATTTCCATAAACTCTGGGACAAGTTACCCTTATAATGCATTGTATTTGTGATTTAACTTTTCTATTGATTAGGACTTCGAAGATTTATTTTTTCCTTCAGTTCCTATAGGGGAATGCCATCATAACTTGTTGACAAAGATTATCTTGGAATGGGTCAACTTATACATTCTTCTTCTCAAAGGGCGTACTTTGCTTCGTCAAAAATCAGTACATAGTTCTCGGCTTTTAGTTTTGAATAAAAGTGGGACCCTAAAAAAAAAGAGAAGAAAACTCTTCTTAATGAATTCCTTCATTTAGCGCCACTAGCAGCCACTTACCCATCTTGTTTTTGAATTTCTATGACAAACATAAACGACCACTGTTAATCAAAGTACTGGTTCCAGTGTACGTTCAACCTAATCTGCTCACACATGGCATACTCTTAGAGTTGGATCTCTGGGATCATACATCTTCTATTTCCCATTCATTCAAACCTTTTGCTTACGCTTCAACTCAAAAACGTGAAACCTTTCCTTATGTCGTTATTGTGAACAAACCAAAAATTGTAAAATCAGTTCTTAGCCATATAGAACATCTTTTGACCAAAGAGTTTTATTTTCCCTTCAATTTCATTTAACGGATAATGTTATACAACGCTCAAGTTATTAATCTACTTGAGTTATAATGATTATTACATTTCATCAGATGATTCTCTTGATGCCAGTTAGTTGATAGTCCTAATGATTGCATCTTTGCTCATAGTTTATAATTATAAGTACATCAATTTGTTGATTTACGGTTTCTTCAGTTTGAACTTGGTTTAAAAGACCAGCTAAACAGAAAAAAGTAGTTCTCTCCAAGAAGAAATTATGATGGACATAAGTTCGATGGATTTATGCTTGCATGATGTTAGAAGAAAATAACGAGCAGTTGCAACAGGTGAAATAACGTGAAATATTTCAACAAACATGCAAATAGAATAATAAATAGAGCAATGAAAACATTTCATACAAAAGTGTTCAGAATGCAGTAAGATGATAAAAACAACCTTAACTCTTGTCCAGTTACGTGGAATATAATATTCAGGTAGTTTTTCATGCCATGAGCTTCTTATGGGAAGTGGATGACCCTCAGTAGTAAATATATAATTTTGGCCAGCTAAAAATGTGTCATCATAAAGAAGATAGAGGTATTTACATCTGCAACATAAGAATAGAGCATGCATATGAAACGTCATTTTAGTAAAAAGTAATCATCACAGCAACTATTTTTCCATGATAAGTAGGCAACAATATTACTGACGTTTCAGAAAGAAAGAAACTGTGCTGATGATCTTCCTGCTGCATTGTTGTAACATCTCTAATACTAGCAAAACCACCAGTAACTTTGGCATAGCGATTGAGCGAGCTAATAATTGATTCACCAACTTCCATATACCATGGATCTGATCATACATAAAATCAACTAAAACATTACAAGGTACATCGAACAATCTTCAGTAAATAATCTAAATTATGCATAATATATCTAAAATCACATATAGGTCCCTCAATCAAGCTAGAAGCCATTGGGTCCCTATACTCTCAAAACTCACTGCTGTTTCCCTCAGGTGTAACATAAGTTTCATATAGACATTTCTCCATTAACGCAGGTTAATATTCAGACAAAAGATAGTACCAACATTAACAAGACATTTTCTTTAGTATTTTCCTATGACCAAACCCTCAAGTTCTCTTTCACTCCTCTTCTGTTCCTCTATGATAGATTTGCTATTAAGGTTGGTTTAGGAGGGAGTTAAAAACACTCAAATCTCACTGTTAGGTGCATTCAACTTAAATTATTCATACAATCAAACAGTTTATTTCTCTTCTAAAAGTTTTGGCATCTAGGTGTAATAATAATTGTTTAATTATAAATTGATTTGGAATGTTATAAAAAAATGTTCTATTTCCCTGCACATGAGTGTAGTTCGCTCAACCTCGCATTGCCTGTGGGTAAATAACTGAGGGCATGATGCCCTCCCAAGCAAACAAAGAGGGTGAAGCAATGAGCGAGAGAGCGAGAGAGCGAGAGAGCGAGAGAGCGAGAGAAATAAGAGGAAGGAGGAAGAAGAAGGGACATCTCGAGTAGGTGGCTTGAGCGAACCTTCTTAAAGCAGCCGTGAATGAAGGAAGGAGTCGCAATCGAGGGAAAGTTACGAGAGGAGCAGCCTTTTTCTGCGATGGAGAAAGGGGAGACGGAAGGCATGTTTGGGAATTTACGTTTGGAGTGACAAAAGTGAAGCGGTCCAGTATCAGTCTAGTGGCTCCTGGAAAACTCTTGTGTGGGGCAGACCTCGACCAAGCTTTCTAAACTCCAAGCACCGAGAACAGCTCATGCGGAAGACTTTCCCGCAAGTTTAAGGTGCTTGGCCAAACCCCAAATGATAACGAAGCTAATCCAAACTACAATAAGAAAAGTAAATATTATTATTGAAAGCACATTGCCAGTAGCGAACAGCAGGGGGCGGCGATGCTAGAGGAGCAATATGTGGTAGGCAGCCTGTTGGGAGGTGTGGGGGACGGGAGACAATGGACAGTGATCCAGAAGAGGTCAGAGATGACAAGGAAAGCACCCAAAAGAGGGAACGACAACCTGGAAGAAGTTAGTGATGGTCGGAACAACACTGGACGGAGTGGACAACAACCTGGAAGGCACGGGATGGGCTGCCGACAACATGATAGTTATTGGAGGTGGCGAACAATAGCAGTGAGGGTGAACAGGGTGACCGACGATGACTGGACTACGGCTAGACAGCAAGTGGAAGCAACGACGACGAAGGTCAGCGAAGGTATTTGGGGGAAGATAAACATCCCACAAGGTCGTTACAGTCAGAGCACCTCTAAAACTATTGGAAAGAATCACCACCTCAGACGAGTTCCAGACGGAGCACCTCCTCCTCGTCAAGTACAACCCTCAAAAGGAAAGAATGCCACAAAGGAAACAAACTGAAATCTGAAATGAACAAAAACAAACCTAAAGCACTCAAACAACACATATATAATAGTTGTTAGTAGTTAGGAAAGAAAAGAGCAGAAATTGGAAAGAAATAGATATAGGGAAGGGGAGAAAAGAGGGAAGCAATAGAATAGGAAGGAAATCCTCCTTTTTTAAGGAGGGGAGGTAATTCCCGCCCAAATAGAAGGATGGCTTGTCCAGCCTCCCTTCTGGATAGACACACATATGCTAGACTGACCGGTCAGCTACAATATCACGTTAGTCTCGCAGGGTTGAGAGAGCTTCGACTTCATCTGCCGAAGCTTCTGGTTCCACTTCTGTCATCCTATTAGCACTTTGATCCCACTGAAGACTGCATCTTTTCCCCAAACACCTAAGAAATTTTATTCACTTGCAAGCTTACATCCACAATGGTCCAATTTTCTGGGAATCTACTACTGAACAGAATTGAGTTTGCGTATCTCGCCTCTGATGCTGAATACTCCTGAAGTCATCCATGGTCAGCTTAACCGATCTGAAGTGGGGGTAACTTGAAGCTCCACATACGGTGGTGGCGCTGCTAGTAAGGTATTGACTCTAATATCCTGATATGTCCTCAGGCATGTCTGTCCCGTGTCTAGAGTTGGTGTCTTAGTACTATCAACCTCCGTTGCTACCAAAACTGTTCCCGCTGATACTGCTCTGCTGGTAAAGGCTTCTGCGATCTCGGGCTCCGCTGAGGGAAGTAAGACTATGCGCTTCCCATCCCTCGTGAAAGAATAGATATTTTTTAATTCGTCGTACTGAGTCTTCAGGTTAAAATGCTACGGTCTCCCAACACAAAATGTCAGGCATCCATAAGGACGATGTCGCACCACACCAGATCCTGTAGCTGGCTCACAATCAAAAATTCCACTAAGCACTTCTAGTCAATGTTGATTATGTTCACCTTCTTTAGCCACTTTAGAGAATATGGTTAGTTGTGCCTCCAGGTGTCGGTCAACTTTTTCGATAGATTTTGAAAATATGGTGTTATGAAAATAATTTTTGAAATTTAATTTAAGTATAAATGATATATATTTTGGGTTTTGAAAGTAGTATGTTTTAATTTTAAAAAAAAATGAGATCGAATGGATCTCATTAGTCCAATAATTTGCATAATCGTTCCTGACACCCTGAATACTACACACTCCAAGAGAAAAGTGTAGACCCCGATAATAGGCCCAATCCTGCAAACTAAGAGATTTGTGACATCCATTTGGTCTGCGAACATTTTATATATGACCGACAAATTCCCCTATTTAATACAAAGATTAAATAGGGTTTATTTTACCTGGGTCTCAAGTTCCCTATAGAGGCAAGCCCCTATAGTTAATTACATCTCAAATGACTGGGGTCACTTGAGAAAACTCTCGATAATGATCAGTGGTTCTAGTCTTCAAGATTTCAAAGTTTAATTTCTCACGGTAGGACGTGGAAAGGCAAATGAGAGTGGCTCAAATATGAACAGTTATTTCAGGAGTCCAAAGGAAGGAACAGGTAGAGGATGTCATAGATCCTGAGGAAAAAACCTCAGTGACATCCTATACTATCTTACTCTGTGGCTGCATTTTAGAGAAGATGTTATTTGAATGTTTAATCCTGCCAATTTTAATATTTGGGACTTATATTTGCATAATATTCGATTATGTAAATAACCCGCAGAGATAAGAGGGTTTACGTTGTAACGAACAACAACCTCAGAACCTAAGGCGAGTTAGGACTTATGCTGCACAACATGGTTGTGCAGGGGCCTAAGAAAAAAGTGAGGATTTATGTCGTGCTAGGCGAGCTACCTCGAAATCCTATAGGTTGTTATTATGCTAGGAAGAGATGATGCTGAAGAAGATCCTCTTGCTGCTCGGTCTGAATTCCTCGCCGCGCTGCCCACGAATTTAGCTCCGAAACTCTTGTCGTCGCGATTGCTACAGGGTTTAAGTGTTTGAGATTGGGGTTTATGTTTCCCAGTTTTGGTGTCAGTGTTTGGTTTCGTTTTGTTTCGATTTTGGTTTTGCATGGAGAATAAACAAATCACAGGTAAATAAAAGGTACTTGAAATGTGTACTTGAAATGTAAAATGCAACAATAAAGTAAAATGATGTAGATAAACTGTAAAAGCGTACCTGGGCATCTGCTACTGTTGCGTGATTAATATTGCGAGCATAATATGATTTGCAGCAGATCTTAATAAAATTGCAAGAAAATTAGATAAAGCAAGAAAACCCAGCATGAAAGTCATAAAAACGAGTAGTAAAAATCACAAGCAAAAGCAACCTATAACCACATATGAAAGATCAAAACTGGGTATAAGACATTGGTAAAAGTGGGGGCTCAGAGCTGGGCTGTGTGCTTCCCGATCTTGAGTAAGAGTTGTCAACTCGACAATCTACAAGAGGTAATTCTTAACCCCAATCCAAATGACTAACCATGGACTTTTATAAATTTTCATAGAAAGATTATTTGATTTCCATGCGAAAGCTGTTATTTAAGTCTTTTTTATGCAAAGTTCTTTTTAACATGCAAAAGGGATTTTTTACTATTTTTGCAAATATTTTGTAAAGTCGTACAGTCCACAGGCTAGTCATTTTAATCGTGCTAGAACTACTGACAACCTAAGAGTGTCGGGGTAACGATATCACCAAGAATCGGCAAATAGTATCATGGATCCTTCTCTCCCTTATTGAAGATCATTGAGGTAGGAGATACTATTCTAATAATCTAACCTCGTATCCCTCGTTTAAGCACACATAAGCAATGTCGTCATCGCCCTCGCCACTTAGACCCTAGACTCATCCTAGTCCAATGATCCATATGTAGCGTTAAGAAATTTCCCCAATTGTCAGGAGGGTTTGAGTGTATTATCCAAACTCAAATCCCGATGCAATGGGTTTCATTGTAGGTTAAGTCATTAAGGGAATTTCACTGTTGATTTAATTAAGAAAGCATGGGTCACGTCTCGGTGCATCCTAGTGTATAGTGTCTTGATCAATTTGTGAATCAGGGTCAAGTGTCTAGTTTTACTGTGCATTCGAGGATTAGGTGAATAGACTCTTACATAAGGTATGCTCCTAATGCTGAGAATTAGGTGGATGGACTCTCACCTAAGGTGTGCTCCTAAAATCTAGGAAGCCTATGTTAAAAATTAAGTGGATAAACTTTCACCTAGGGCGTGCCCCTAAAATCTAGAAGCCTATGCTGAGAATTAGGTGGATGGACTCTCACCTAAGGTATGTGCTCCTAAAACTCTAGGAAGCATATGCTGAGAATTAGGTGAATGAATTCTCACCTAGGGTGCACACCTAAAGTCTAAGAGGTCTACACTGAGGACTAAGTGGATGGGCTCTCACCTAGGGTGTGCTTCTAAAGTGTAGGAAACCTAAACCGAGGACTAGGTTGATAGACTCTCACCTAGGGTGTGCACTTAAAGTT